CAAGGAAGATTTAAGACCTGTTTTCAACGAGAGCGAGTATTATGCTTCTCAAGTTTTTCATTGATTGTTTTACCACTAGGGTTCTCAATGCCCTGCGGTGCAAGGCAGCCCCCTATATGACTGTGGGCTTAATTCCGGCAAGTTTTTTAGCCCGAAGAAAACCTCGTTTCCCCGCCTTCGGTCAGAAAGCCTTCTCTTTCTCCCACACTAAATAATAGGCTCCATACATGAGAGAGTGTACCACGATAGTTGTATAGACTTCACCATATGCACACAACTTACTCGACGATAAAATCGTGCAGAGCAGAAAGTCTAACGATATTTTTTTTTAAATAATCATATATTGATAGAAACAAATAGTTACATCCTGGAATTCATCCAGGTCTGAAAATCAAAATAACGACACGTAGTCGGGAACAAAGACAGGGTCTGTCTAGCTATCATATGAGCTACCCTATTGTTACCCCGACCTACAAATCGCACACTGAAGCCCGGATTTGATGTGAAAAACTATACAATCTCCTCCAAAATAGCCCATACTCGACTATCACGCACATCAGCCCGACATATTTTATCAATGACCACCTTGGCATCACCTTCAAACCGCATTGCCAAAAATCACTGCGCTAAACACCAACGAATTGCTTCTCGACGAGTAAGTAGTTCTACCACCATTGGATCATCCATCAGAGAGAACTGAACTCCCGCAGCACAGAGGGCCACCCCCACTTCATTGAGGATATCATTCCTCCCGCAGAGTGAGACCCTCTTCGAACTGTCACATCCCAACGACACACAAGCCCCCTGACCCACCTAAGTCCATTGTAGGAGTACTAGGAGGAGACTAAGAGGGAGGCTGAGGATCACTAGGCAAGCAGAGCCATTCTCCTAACTGTTGATCACTAGGCTGCGGAAAGTCAACGATATTTTATGTTGAAATTGTGAATTAAACCGCAGTTCAATATTTTAATACCGCTAAAACCGTCTACCCGCTTAGACTTTGATAGGAGGTTTTTTTCCAATCAAACTGTCGGTACGATACGATTTTTCAATCGTTGATTCTTACAACTATTGAAGCATGTTCTTATTGCATTTGTGGACTTGAAGCTACCCGTTCGGGCCCAACTTGTTTGATGACCCATGACCCACTCATACCCCAAATCCCCAATCAACAACTCGTTTGACATGTATATCTATCTTTTTTTTTTTCAAAGAGTATATCTATCGAGTCGTAAGTCGTAACCTTACCTATTTAGCTTGAGCCCAATTACACACCTTACGACAACCCGAAATATTTAATAGTCGTGAGATGCAGTCAATAGGAAAATTACCATGATTGATGCATAATCAAACCAATCTATAACTTGATCGCTATATTCTGATTAGCTCTCAATCAATAGACAGATTCATCTGCTGAGCCATAACTAGGATGCAAATGAGCCAAGACGCTCGCGAGCAACTCGGCGTTCGAAACGGAAAAAAAACTCGTCCGACACTCGGCTCGTTATTTGGTAAGCCAACTCGCGAGCCGATTTGTTAGTAAACGAGCCAAGCTTTCGTGAGCTAGCTTGACTCGGTGGCTTGTTGAGGTTAGCTCGCGAGCTAGCTTGTTTAGAGGTCGTGTAAGGATAATTACTCTTCTGAACATGCACATTATCTTGGTAATACGGATGTGTAAGGAAGTTAGCTGTTATTTTTAGTTTCTAGTGTTCTTTTTGTCATTAAATTCTTACGGTTATACATTTTTCAACAAGAATGATTTCAAATCGAGCTCATCTTGAGCCGAGCTTGTACTTAGCTTGATAAGCTATGTTAATGAGCATTTATCAACCTCTACCGAGTCGAACTCGAGCTAGATAATTTTTATTCAAGCCGAGCACGAGCTAGATCATCCAAATTCGAATTCGAACGAAACTCGAACTGAAAGATTCATAGACGAGCTGAGCTCAAACTAAACAAAAACTCGACTCGGCTCACAACCTAGTCATCCACCTAACCCCACAGGTGTATGGACGAAGGATCGATAAGGAAAGTTAGGCAAGTGGGATCAGAGAATCACTTCCCATTTCGAAGCACGTTTCTTTCCCCCAAGTCGTCATATTTTTTGCTGCAGATTTTGCCTTTCGATTTTGGCCTGTGGGTATTGCTGTAGTTTTAGCCACGGGGGAAATTTCCTGAATCAAAGACGCCACAACAAGGTTTGTATACTTACCACACAATTGGCGTCAAAAGGTAAACTCACCCACTTCCTCAACACACAACACAAACGTACGTACGAGTCCATTCTCATCCACGCACGGCTGACTACAACACACAACCACAAGCAAGTGGCAACTTGTCTCGTTGCCCCAAATCCTATAAACAAAAGGAAAAAGATATGCCTAGTGATAGCTCTTTCTAAGCTACTCTAATCAAAAAGTAATGTTGATTATTAGCGTGGGAGGTTTCAATGACTTGAATGTCAAATACGAATCACCTCAAAATTCTTGATTAACGGTTAATTAAAATTTTTGTGGAATTTGCATTCGAGTTATGCAGAGTGAATTTTGCCAAGTGCAAAACAATTCATGCTTGGTAGTCATTTTGATAGAGGAAATTGGTTATATGAGGCCAAACTGGTATAGGACTGTATTGGTATGAAATGGTACAAAAACTGTTTAATTACCCGATCATTGGATCATCTGGTACAATCTTTGGTATATTTTCCATTCCTTAAAAAGAATAGCTAGTAAAAAAAATTTTGTAAGGAAATATTTCTCGATGAATGATCTTGATGAGACCGCCTATACTATTGGTATAGAAAAGCCATAGAAAATAGACTGCTATTTGGTCACGATCACAAGTAGTGAAATCGCTCAATTTCTGTATGAGTGAGAATACGCTCACAACTGAGAGAGGGGAGACTAGATTTTGAAGTGAGAAACACATTGCAATGATGGTCATTCTTGTATATTAAATGGTTTGAATTATAATAAATTGCGGAATTGAAGAAAATTTCTTACGATCTAAGCCTCCTCATAATGTTGCTTTCTGCATTTGGTGAGGTCTGGAGAGAGGACGAGAGGAAGAACGCATTGAAGAGTCCAAATTTTTTATCGGTGTAATAAATTACTTTGAATTTTCATCTAATTTACGTATTGGAGAGTTCATTTTCATACTTCACTTTGTTATAGGCTTTATGTACTATAGATCATCTGTTCTAATTAATTAGGCGCTTCTATTGTAATGTGCAAACAATTGATCCTTAGCAAACTTGAATTAACAACTTATTAAACAAAGCATAGAAAAATAGTAAGTGGAAGTAAACAAGGAAGGATTTCCTATGATAACTTGAGTTGGTTGGAATACTCAATCTAATAAATCGGGATTTTCGATGAGAAAAAGGAGCAGATTCGAGTTTAAATGCAAGAAAATGATAGAACAGATACCTTCACAGTTCACACTCAAAAGATAGGTAATTTGATGCTTCGATGACTTTAAACAACCTGCGTACTGAAATACGGCTATGACTTTTTGCGACTGTTGCAGGCAACTTCAACGAAAACTAATCAATATAGGCAGCGACGAGGTCGGTCGTTACAAATCACACAAAAGACAACAGATTTGCACTAAATCAATCGACCATATCAGTGGAATAATAGACAAATTTGTCCCTCAAACACCAACTAGTTCTGGAATTCAATCCAACTCAGAAAAGGTATACCCATAAAGGATAAGGTTAGGGGACTCGAGGAACTAGCCACATCATGCAAAGGTAGACATAAACAAAATTGGAGTACAAGATGAAATTTGAAAGGAAAAAAAAAAAAAAGAAGTTAGAAGAATCATATAGATTGCCGTCAATTGCATATTATATTTCCTCACCTTTTTATTGTGGCTCCAAATTACCTATCGTAATAGGATGATTAGTTTAATCAAGGAAGATAATACTAGTTTTAATCATGAACCATCCCCAAACATGAGCATGTCCTTAGTTTAATCATGAGCACAATTGTGTTGGATTTTTTGTAAGTGGTTGACCGACTTTCAATTTAATAAACATACCATCCCAATTGCATCAATGGAATGTTAAAACTAAAACGAATTGTTTGTTTGTGTATAAAAAACATGATGATGGTGGCCCTGACGCAAATCACTTAACCTCCTAATTGGATGTTAGCGAAATGACTAAACCACCCCTCTTACTCTTCAACCAATTAATTTGTTTGAGTTAATTTTTTGGTAAATAATTCTTCACTATTTTTTTTTTTACAGTGGGATGCTAAAAAGACGTCCCTACTTCTTATATTAAACAAGTTTAGGTACAAAATCCAATGTTGTAAGTTTGGATAAAAAATACTTGAATTGCTTTGAAAGTGTGACCTTTGGCCTTTGCTAGCCAACTAAGCCGTTGCCGTATTACATTCGTGAAATGTTTGTAATACCTTAACTGCCCAATTCTGATGGATGAGGTTCTTGAATTGCTTTGAAAGGCCATAGTACCTTTGATTTTCAGGGTTTTCCTTCCTCGAAATTGTCAATGTTCTGATCGAATCAAAATGAAGCAGAACAATTTAGAAACTTGTGCATATACAAAACAAAGCATTAGTGGGTGTCACTTGTACATGGGCGTTGGGCCGTGCTTGGACCGACACGGTATGGGCACGTTTCAGGCCCTTTTTTTTTGTTGCCCTACTTGGTATGATCCGTTATTTTTCGTGTCATGTCGTGTCAGCCCATTTGTCAATTTTACTAGGCGCGACTCAGGTCCTGGCACGGTTTGAATCGTGCCGTGCTTATATTCGTATTTAATGAAATGAAAGAAAATAAAAGAGGAAATAAAAAAGAAGGAACAAATTGGATGGAGAATGAAAGTATTAACCGAGAATGTAACAAATGTAACAAATAAGGGCAAAAAGAAAATTAAAAGTATAGTGGGTGTGATTTGACTTTGTTTAATAATTCATGTACTTTTATTTATGGTAGTAATTACGTATATATATGTATGATCACTTCTAATAACAATAAATAATTTTATTGTACTTATATTTTTTAAGATTTGGACCTATAATCCTTTTTATATTTATTTTCTATCAAATAAATATTCTTTTCATACCATGTTCGTTTTTATACTCAATAAGGTCTCGAAAATATTAGGATTGGCATGACCCATTTACATACCGTGTCGTGCCTGTGCTAGTGTCCATGCCCATGAAGTTTAGGCCCGACACGGTCCATAAATTTTTCGTACTCGTGCCGGGCCAGCTCATATATTTCGTATCCGTGCTCGTGCCCTGCGCTAACCGTGTCGTGTCGTGCTAGCCTATGAGCGGCCCGGCCCGGCCGCACATGTACAGTGTAACTATGATAATGAACCAGTTAGTGAATCACATATAACTGTTTCATCCTTGTTATATAGTCTTTGATTAAACCGCGTAATTTTTTATGCTTGATTTCTTATTTGAACAATATATTTTCGATTTTGCAATATTCTTTTCTCTTATTGTATTGTCTTTCCACAACGTTGTGGCATATGAAATCACCTGTAAATTAGATGACTGAAAATTATACCTCAAAATCTTACTCTTTTCTGTATAATTAGAATGTATTACATTCAAACGAATTATGATGTATTTTTATTGAGTTTCGATCATTTATCAACCATATCGCCAGTCTGACACCCTTTTCTAAAGAGAAAGGTGGCTAATTTTAATTTAGTTCCAGAGTCTTAATTTCATCACTAATAAAAAGAAATTATCATATTCCCATTTCCCACAGACGCTGTAAAGCTATAAACATTACGTACTCTTCCGTTCTCCCACAATGAAAAACTGCGAAAAGAACAGAGTCCATAAACCAAAAAACCCCAGAAAAGAGCCAAAACCAAAAAGGCAATGGAGCAGCAGCAAACCCAGCAACTTGAAATAATATCTGCAGGAAACTCATTCACCATTTTGCCTCCATCAGCCCAAATCGAGTTCCTTCCACCCAGAGGTGGATAAATAAGTTTACACCAAGAACCCAACAAAGAAGAGAACTTCCCTCTGTTTCCTCATCTCCAGGTCTGTAAAATTGATTCTCCTCTTCCTCTGCTTTCCCCTGCCACGAATTAAAAACCTGCCTTTGTATCGTCTAATGAATCGGCTACATGGGTTCATTCCTTTTTTTTTTTTCTTTTGGCAAATGATCCGATCCCCCGTCGTCACTTTCAGAAATTGGCGACGTGGGTCGCTTAGCTGTCTAGTTTTTTGGAACTGGAAACCGGAGAAATATGCTCTGTTTCAAAAACTTCCAGCAACAGAGGAGAAGGAAAACAGAGGACAAAAAACAGAGTCCCTTTCTTCTTTTGATCGATTTACCTTTTGTGTCTATAAAGCTAATGCCTTTCCTTTTCTCTGTTGGGAAATTCATCACAGGAGAGTAATCAAAGAAGAAGAAGAAGAAGAAGAAGAAAAGATGGTTCTGTTCCCATCTTTCTTCAACGGCTTGGTGAGAACGATGTCCTCATCGTCCTCGTCGTTGAAGAAAACGAAGAGCTTGGAGAGAGATGCCGCCGCCGCCGCCGGCGGAAAAGAAGCTGCGGAGGAGCTGACTAAGGATGCTAAACGCAATGAGCTGATTCTGAGCTCCTCTGGGATTGTGAAGTCAACCAAGTCCAACAATTTTGCTTCCGTCTGCTCTAGGAGAGGCCAGAAGGGCGTCAATCAGGATTGCCTCGTCGTCTGGGAGGTATGTATTGTTAGGAAACGATATATGATCATAACTGAACTTCTTCCAATAAGTAGAGGACCAAATGTTCGATCACGAAAATTAAACCGTTTGGCGCAAAATTCTAACCAAACTCTCGTAAAAATTGAATGCAGGAATTCGGGTGCCAGGAAGACATGACGTTCTGCGGGGTGTTTGATGGTCACGGGCCATGGGGCCATGTGGTGGCCAAAAAGGTTCGAGAATCAGTCCCGCCATCTCTGCTCTGCAACTGGCAGAAGACTCTGCAATCCTCTCTCGACGTGGAGATGGAATTGGGGGGGCTACTGAATCAAAATGAGGACGACATGATTCTCCGCCACAGCAACCAGCAGCACCGGTTCGAGATCTGGAAGGAGTCGTATCTCGAGACTTACGCCGCCATTGATCAGCAGCTGAAACAGAGTCATCCCAAGATCGACACTTTCTTCAGCGGCACCACTGCTCTCACCATTGTCAAACAGGTAATAACACAAGAAAAATGATGGTTGAATTAGTTTTCTTTTTCTTCTCGTTTACGATTGGTTCGTGACTCTGTTTCGATTGCAGAGGAACCATCTGGTGATAGCCAACGTCGGCGATTCGAGAGCTGTGTTGGCCACAATTTCGGATAACGGCGCTCTGTCAGCCGTGCAACTCACCATCGATTTCAAGCCCAATTTACCTGGTAAGCCCAATTTCATTTTCCCCTTCCTTGCTCAACTGTCTGTGGCTCTAATCGACGGTCTATCGAATTTTCCCCTTTATCCAGAGGAAGCAGAGCGAATCAAGAGCTGCAGGGGCAGAGTGTTCTGCCTGCAGGACGAGCCAGGGGTGTACAGAGTGTGGCGGCAGAGCGGGAAGACGCCAGGGCTGGCGATATCCAGAGCGTTTGGCGACTACTGCCTCAAGGAATTCGGGCTGATCTCCGTGCCCGAGGTGACCCAACTGAGCATTACGAGCAGAGATCAGTTCGTGATCCTGGCGAGCGACGGAGTCTGGGATGTGGTGTCGAACCAGGAAGCCGTGCGGATCGTTGCTGCTGCGGCGGCGGCGGGGGATGGTGGTGGAAGGGAGAAATGTGCGAGGAGGCTGGTGGAATACGCGTCTCGAGCGTGGAAACGGAAGCGCGGCGGGGTGGCCATGGATGATATGTCGGCGATCTGTCTCTTCTTTCATGAGGTTGAGCCATCGCCGGGAGGAGATGGCGTGGAGAGTGAGAAGAAGAAGTGTTTGGATTAGGGTGACGATGGACCATTTTGAGGGATGATCGGATGGGGTAAAAATGTACAGGGGAGTGGGTGAAAGAGCAAAGGTGAGATCTTTTATTATGGTTAAGGTTGCTTATAAAAGGTGTTAAAATTTGTAACGGTTTGATAATTTTCGGGATGTCGTTATATGGAAATACACAAGTATATTTTGTTGGATGTTGATTGGTTCTGTCAAGAACTAGTTGATTTTAATAACTTGAGTTGTGGTGGGAGAGGTTTAATCGTGGATTATATACTGTTTACTAACACCCTCCTTCAATCTCAAGTCATTCTTGATTTTAATAACTTGAGTTGTGGTGGGAGAGGTTTAATCGTGGATTCTGTTAACTCACCGTGTGCTTAACAGAAACAGATGGGGGTCACCGGGAATCGAACAGAAGACCTCACGGTTACAGAAGGCTCTGATACATGTCAAGAACCAGTTGATCCCAATAACTCGAGTTGTTGGGAGAGATTCAATCGTGGATCATATACCGTTTACTAACAGGTTCTAAGGGCTCGTTTGGAGAATTAGAGTCTAAATCTCTAGATTCTAAACAATCCAAATATTTGAACTCTCCGGATTGTTGAAAAAAGATTTGAAAATGTTCATTGTTTGATAACTGCGATTGTTAACATACAATAAAAAAAGAAATTATATTTGTTTATAAAATGGCATATTTATGCTTAACCAAAATAATTAAATTGGCTAAAAAAAATATTGAAAAATTTATCAATATGGATATTTAGTGGGATAAATTAAAAAAAGGAAGAGATAGAGTAAGAGAGAGAAAACCTCTAAAATCAAGATGTAGAATCTCTCTAATTAGGAGAGATTTGATATCTCTAGATTTTAGAGATTTAAAATCTCTAAACCTACAATCCACGATACAAAAAGTAGCAAAAAAACATAACATTTTGCCAAATCTATGGATTCAATAAATCCATCATCCAAATCTTGTTCTCCAAACGACCCCTAAATACTTATGAAATTATCTAGGAGTGTATTTTCATATTTTGGATTCAAACGAGTGTATATTATGCTCGGTTGGTTGAATATCGCAAGAGTGACTGAGACCTCACCTTTTCAATTTCCTTCAGTAGCATCCAGATATTGGAGGCTCTTACCTTGAGCTTAAGGCTGAAAGTTTGGTACCAGTATTTGGGATATACTGAATACCGTAACGAATTTATCACTATTTGGTATTGGTATTGGGATTCATTTTGGAATGCTATTCGGTATTCGAGATTACGAGATTGGGATCGGTATATACCGAAATACTGTGAAATACCGAACTTTAAAAATTAATGAAATATAGCACACAACCTTTTGTCATTCCTCACTCTTTCACAACTTAGAAGCTCTCATCCAACTCAATTTTGACTTTTCAGTTTAAGTAAATCTCGTTTCTCACTTAATCTCTTGTTATTTTCATAACACCAAAAAGCAAACACTAGTATTAGTCATCTCTCAACCTCCAATTCGTCAAATTTAAGATTACCAATGACAAAATTTTGAGATGTCACCTCTTATTTATTCTCCTTATCCATATCCTAGCTCTAAGCAAACTAAAGACTTTTTGCTTAGTCTCTTTGCCCTAAATTAAACAATCAAATCTAATATACATATTTAATTATTAATTACAAAGGTAATTAATTTCATATTCGATAATACCGATTGGGATACCGAAATATTTAAGGATTGAGATTGGGATACCGAAAATATTTAGGGATTGGGATTGAGATTGACTCTAGAGTGTAATTCGGTATTCAGGATTTCTGTATTTGCTATGGGGATACCGATACTGTACCGTTTTCCACCCCTACTTGAGCTGACTCTTGTTGAGTTGTAGACTTCTAGAGTACAAAGTGCAATCATACTCCCAGACCCGGTGGTAGAGCTATAGCACACAAAACGTGGTCGTACTCTCCTTTTATGGTAGTCGCGGATAAGGATTCTTCGTTGTAAAAAAAACAAGGTAACAACTCACAACTAAGAATTGCCAATGTGTTTGTCCATAGCTAGGGATGGCAACATAACGCTATCCACGGATACCCTACCCGAGCCAACCCTGTCAAATCGGATAAAACCAGTATTGACGGGTTATGGGCCGGGTTCGGGTTTAAATTCGTTCTAGTATTTTGCGGGTTGGATAGGGTTTAGCTATATCCAATCTGTTCCAGCCGAACCCTTACCCAACCCCGACTAATATGTTGTTCTCGCTAATAATTGTGTAGAATGAAGTTGATGTGATGGAGTGGAGAGTGAAGCTAAGATCATAATTTTCAAGTTCTCGAGGAGGAAGAAGCGTTCTATTAATCATGTTTTGCTGATGTTTATCTTTAATGTTGAACAATTTGTATGGATAATTTGGGGTTTGCTTGTATGTACTAGATTGATGTTTTTTGTATGGATAATTTGTACGGACATATGTGTGTTAGACTTTTATTATGTCAGGAAATTGTTGTTATGAATTTTCACTATAACAACCATGGGTATCCATGAACCTGCGGATACCCAGTGGGTTGGGTTTGAGTTTTTCAAACCAAATGAATGCTACCCTGGATTTTTTGGTGGATATACCCGTGGGTTTGGATTTGGCAAAACCCAACCCAACGACCCATTGCCATCTCTATCCATAGCGGATCACATCAGACCAAACTAATGTTTGGATAGGACCTCACCGAATTAAGTATAATATGGTACAGTCTGTTGTCCCATAAATTTTATGAATACTGAAGAAAAATGGACCGAATTGACATTTGGACCGGACCAAAACATACCGAGTACACTATCAAACAAGTCCTTAGTCCTAAGATATCTTTTTTATTGGACCGCGGTTCTCCTGAGTCTAGTTCGATTCAATACAGACCAGACCAAGCCCACCCCTACTAAGGCTGACTTCAATGGGTTCGGCAAATATGGGGAGGGCGACATTTTTGGGGATAATCGGCAAATGGGTCTCTATATTGGAAGGGTTTTGGCGATTCATCGGGAAGGAAAGTGGTTGGGCCCCATCCACCACCATGCCAAACCCTTTACTTTTTTTAATTAATTATGCCTGATGGTTTAATTAATGGATGCTTAATTAGTGATTTAATTAATGGTTATTTAAGTAGTTGTTTAATTAATGGTGGTTTAATTGTGAGTAAACAAAAACTAGACCGATGTAAGAATGAAAAGTATATTATTGAAATGAAATTGCGTTCTTGAATTATAAAACAAATTTTCACCAACTACAACTTTAATTGAAAATGTGTCCTTGAACTATTATGTGAAGGATGTCTGTACTGCAACACCAAGATAACTATAGGGCTCCTCTCACCATTATGTACTGTAGCGTTCTCTCCAACCTCTCTTTCTCAGTTTTCTCCCCAGCTGCCGCTTTTGGAGCATTCAATGTTCAGCGCGTTGACAAACCCATCTCCTGCAAGGAAATCAAAATAGATCGACGAGGTCAGAAGGGAGTGAAGAAGATCAAGGAAGATCCGGGGAGCATTTATGGTAGAAGTAAATCCAGGGCAGGGTTATCTCCCACTGATGATATTAAAGGCAAATGGAGGCGTGCCAGAAGTATGCCCTGCCTAGGCAAATCTGGCCAATTGCAGCTAAAGCCACCTGATCAACTACCCAGTAATGAATATGGAGGAGGGAGAAGATCCTTGGCTGCACTCGGCAGGAAGAGAGTTAAGAAGGAAAGGGGTGAGGAAAATCTTAAAGGCCATAAACAAGAGGTGCAGCAGAAAGGGGATCCAGACATTAAAGACATACAGAGAGCTCACCTGAAGAAAATTTGGGAGAGGGATATGACAATCATCACCACTACACTTACCTATACCCTGACAACCAGACACGAGTCTCAGAAGATCGAGAAGGAGAGGGTAGATACTCAGCGAACCAGGACAGAGCATCTGGACAGGCGTCTGGGAATAGCTACAACAAAGAAGAGGAAACTACCTGAGAAGAGTAGCCTTTACCATAAAGGGAAATTAAGAGGTAAACAGAAGAGGCCACAAGAAGAGGGAGGGGATAACCAACTACCCCATTTATTACCAAAGGCTGGTAAGGGTTTCGCTGAGCAAGAGGGGCAGGTCGATTGGCACTATAAAAAGATCAAGCAACATGCAGAGTCTACCCAGTTCAACCACAAAACCAGCAAGAGCAAACCCAAGCTCCAGAAATCACCCCGGTGGATCCCAAAAACAACTGTGCCTACCCATCCTTTAGCCCATCCACTACCTCAAAAATGGAATTGAATGCTTCGAGTTCGAGAGGAATGAAGAGCCACCTGGTTCTCAATGTTAGGGCAAGAGTGGTGGGTTCAAGGGATAGTGGCATTCCCATGCTACTCAGCAGATGGATTACGGATGCAAACATCAACCTCCACAAAGCCAAGAACACAGCATCCTACAAGTGGAGGGCCTATGGAGAAGTCCAAGCTACGAAAGAGGCAGACAACCTTTTTGTCTACTCTTTTCCAACAATAAAGCAGAGGGATACAGTTTGGGAAGCGAGTCCGTGGAATCTGGGCAATACCATGGTAGCTATGAGGAAGTGGGATGGCGAACAGAAGGCTGAGCTGGAAGATATCAACACAATCACTCTATGGGTGCAGATGCATGACCTCTCCCAATCTCTCAAAGACGAAGAGTCCATTCAGGCAGTATCTGAATTCATCTTCCCAAAATACCATGGAATTGATAACTCCAACTTCGAATTTAGAGGATGGCTGAAGTTCGTTAGAGTGAAAGTTGAAGTCCAACTGGACAAACCCATCCTGATCGGGTTTGAGTTCCCATTGGGAGAAGGATCAACCTGGGTAAGCTTCAAATACGAGAGGATCTTGGACCTATGCTACTTCCGTGGAAGACTAGGCCATCTAATCCAAAAAAGCCTTGAATGAGAAGATTATTGAAGAAGGGGACTGTGCACCGATCCCTCTGAAGTATACACAGCGTCACTCAAAGCAGGTCACGACTCACCAGAAAATATTTCCCTGGCGTCTTTCAGGGAGAAAAAGGAGAGACTGAGGCAGATTACACAGATCGAGCAAAGGACCCACAACATGCCAGTATCCCGAGGAGCATCGTCCTTACTGACGCTCGTGGGCCATCCAGTGCAGACCCATGCCTCCTGCCCACCTGGCTTCGTGGCCTTGCCTATGGAAAACCCAGGAATGATGAGAGGCGGAGATTGGATGCTAAGAGGAGAGGGGAGCTTCCCCACCAGCCTTTCACAAGTCTCGATGCTACAAGTGGAGCTGGCGGCAGCAGCAATGCAGAGAGGAATGGATCTCTCTGGCAGGAAGGAGACAAGGGAGAAGCAGGCTGGGCTATTTGAGATGGGCCAGTCTCTCACTCTGGCTAGCCCAAGTTTACCCATACAAGAAATAGACCAGGCCCAAGTTTTCGATGAGCAGGCGACCCAAGGTTTCGATGAGCAGGCACCAGAAGTGGGGGCCCAAGTGGCCCATTTCACCCCTCAGCCTACCGTTTTGCAGAACCCAGTGGGAGCGGAGGAGATTTCCCCAAGACCAGAGAAGAAGAGGAAATCAGACCACCAAATCACCCAGCCTGAATCATCCCCAATGCAAGCTTTTGCTTCTAACTTGTTGTCGATTCTCTGTCCTTCACAACAGGTGGTGATATCAGGAGGTATGCAAGGAAGAAACATCAGGGAGATCAATGCGGATGAGAATCAGTCTGGAGAGGGAGAATCCAGCTTCCCAATGGCGACAGCGGCAGGCCATAAGTCGCCATCTCAATCATGAGGATTATCAGCTGGAATTGTAGAGGGTTTGGCCAGCCCCTTCATCCATGCTCCAACCACGGCGGTGGAGAGGAGAGCCCTTTGGGATCGACTTACGAGCCTAAGGGAATCTCAGGATGAAAAGTGGCTTATTTTGGGTGACTTGAATGTTGGTCAGTTCTCTTTTGAGAAGCAGGGGCGCTGCCCTCTCAGGAATGAAAATGTGGCGCCTTTTAAGTATTTTATTGAGCAGAATGCCCTTATGGACCTGGGTTTCTCTGGTCAGCCTTTCACCTGGACTAACAAGCAACAAGGCAACAATCTTATCCGGGAGAGGCTTGACCGAGCCCTCTGTTCCTCCTCTTGGCGAATGAGCTTTGAATCGGCAATTGTGTTCCTCCTCTTGATCTCCATCCCAAACATCAAGCTAGGCATACCCCTTTCCGATTCGATAAGAGATGGAGGGATAACGATGAATGTTGTCACATTATTACAAACAGATGGACTAGAGGGGGACAGATTAGTGAAAAAATGAAAGATTGCCAGAAGGATCTTCAGAACTGGGCACGGATCGACCACAGCAACAAAATCAGGCGAGAAACAGAAATTAAATCAAGGATCCAAGAGATACAAGGCCCAAACAGGACTATTGAGATGATCAACGAAGAGAAAAGTCTTCAACTGGAACTATCTACGATCTGGAATGCAGAAGAGGAATTTTGGGCGCAAACATCACGGAATAGTTGGCTTCAGGAAGGATATCAAAACACAGGGTTTTTCCACGCCAGCACCATCAAGAGGAGAAATAGGAACAAGATTCTCAAACTAAAGACCTCTGAAGGGACCTGACTTGAGGAAACTCTGGACCTGGACAATCATGTCAACGGTTTCTACCGTGAGTTGTTCACTAGAAAGGGATGCATTTTCAGCTTGGTGCGAACAAAAGCCCCTAGGCCAGATGACTTCCAAGGCTTCTTCTTTAGGAGATTTTGGAATCTGATCGGGGACCAGTTTTGTGATGAGATCATCTGCTTCTTCCGGACGAGTGTGATGCCGGAGTCTTGGAATGGCACTTTCATCACCATCATTCCAAAAGTGGAGACCCCAGAGACGATTGGCCAATTTCGCCCGATTAGCTGCTGTAATTTCAAATACAAAGTCATAACCAAGATCATGACTAACAGACTGCAAAGATGGCTTCCCGGACTGGTGAACGAACTCCAATCAGCCTTTACCGAGGGGAGGCTTATTCAAGATAACATTATCATCGTTCATGAAGTCCTTAACCACTTCAAGAAAAACAGAGCAGGCGAGCGTAAGGATATGATGATGAAACTAGATATGCGAAAAGCATACGACCTGGTCGAATGGGATTTCCTCCTTGTTTTGCTAAGAGCCTATGGATTCAATGAAGTCTGGTGCAACTGGGTTAAAGAATGTGTCTCAACTGTTAAATTCCGACTCCTGTTGAATGGCGAGCCTTCCTCTGAGTTCATCCCCTCTAGAGGTTTGAGACAAGGAGACCCGCTGTCTCCTCTTCTGTTCATCCTCATGTCCAATGCCATCTCTTTCCTCATTGAAAAAGCGGTGCAGCAGCAGGAAATTAGAGGGCTCAAGCTAAACAGATACTGCCCCTTGCTGACCCACTGTCTCTTTGCGGATGACACGGTGATCTTCGGAGAAGCTTCGGTTTTGGAGGCACAGAGCATCTTGCGGATTCTGGACTCGTATGGAGCAATCACTGGGCAGGAGGTTAACCGGGAAAAGTCTTCGGCTTTCTTCATCAAGAATGTGACAGAAGAGGAAAAGGAAGCTATTATACTTTCTATTGGTTTCGATTGCTCCAGTGCTCACTCAAAATATCTGGGAGTGCTAACAGAGTGGGGCAGATCTAAGAAGGAAACCTTCCAATTCCTCATCCAACGACTGGAGGAAAAAGGAGAAGCGTGGAAAAGCCTAATGCTGTTTCCAGGGGGAAAGGAAACACTGCTCAAAGTAGTCTTCCAGGCTGTTCCATCCTTTATCATGTGCTTGTTCCTCCTTCCTCGTGCAATGACGACAAGAATGGATGCAATGCTCAAGAGATTCTTTTGAAGTGGGTCTATCTCTAAGAAATCAATTCACTGGAGGGCAGGAAGAGTTCTTTACGCCCACAAATATGAAGGAGGACTGGGGTTCCGACCTTTCCATATCTTTAACCTTGCTTTGCTTGCTAAGCAATCATGGCGCATCCTCACGAACCCTGATGCCCTTTGGGTCAAAGTTTGAAGGCTCTCTACTTCCCTCGGGTGGATTTTACAATAGCCAAGAAAGGAAGCAAGGCCTCATAGATTTGGTTCGGTATCTGGGAAGCAAGAAAGTGGATGGAAAAATGCATAATCAAGGTCATTGGAAGTGGGAGAGACACTAGCCTCATCCATGATCCTTGGTTGTTTGTGCGACCAGGTCCCATGAGACAGGACATCAGTGCAGATTGATCTGTTGTCACTGACTTCATTGATCCAATTTCCCGGGATTGGAGGTTTGACATTCTCGAGAACTTTCTAAACCCATCGGAGATTCAAGATGTGGCGAGGACACCTGTTGGCCCCAGCTCCATGAAGGATTACTGGGCTTGGCGCTACTCTGAAAAAGGTAACTTTGCCGTTAAGTCGGCTTTTCTTCACTTCCACCACCAGTGGCGGAGGGATCGGGGGGAAGAGCTGACATTACCTGAATCTAACAAAGACAGATGGAATGGCTTTGGGGACCCCCTCTGCCCCCGAAGCTGAAGTTCTTCATTTGGCGAGCATGAAGAGGCGCTCTGGCTACAAGACACAATCTCCAGGACCGTCGTTGCTCTCCTTCCTCTGCCTGCCCGGTGTGTGATGCTCCGACGGAGACCATCCACCATTGCCCCTTCCTCTGTCCACATGCTGCGAATGGATGGAATCTTCTCTGCCCGGAGCTAGCCACCCCTCCTCCTCTCACAAATGTTCTAGAATGGCTCTTCTCCCTGTCGAGCACCTTGCCAGCCGAGCTAATTCAGAATTTCAGCTACCTGCTTTGGCAAACATGGAAGACGAGAAACGAAAAGGTGTTTAGGGAAAAACCTCCGGTGCCCTTTGCAACAGTTTCTCACGCAATGGAGGAGGCACATCGCTGGAGATCTTGCCCCAAGAAAAGAACCACCTCCTCCCACCCTCAACCTGTCACACCCCCTAAGTCCACTTTACCACCTCCAAGTACCCACTCTTTTGAGGTACACTGTGATGGATCGTTTTTTCACGATTCCCAGGAGGCGGCATATGGCGTCGTTATTACGAATGGCCATGGTCAAGTGGTTGATGGGAAGGCTGAGCCCCTGCACTGCTTCTCACCGATTGAGGCGGAAGCAAAAGCTCTTCTAGAAGGGGCCTTGGTTGCTGTGGATCTTAATGCCCCGTGCCTTGTGTCGTCGGATTGCCTGGTCCTGGTGAAGGCTATTCAAGGTCTGCCGAGTCTCTGGCCATGGCGGCTGCTGCTTGGCTGGGAAGAATCCTGCATATTGCCAGCTACTTTCCCGACATCAGATTTGAATGGATTAATAGGAAGCGGAACTGCAAGGCAGACTGGGTGGCTAGGTCCTGCGCGGAATCAGCTACCCTCAGAATGGATTCAAATTCTTGATGTTATTTCACCCCTTCTGTAACCTTTGGCTCTCGCTGATATTAATGAAAAGCTTTGTGCCCTTGTCAACAAAAAAAAACTATTATGTGAACTCTATTAATTTTATCACATTCAAGTGTTGTGTGTAAACCCAGATTAGGCCCATAAATTTTTGCCAAATAAAATGGTCTCAGAATTTTAAAAAATTATATCGGAAAAATCCTATTTAAAAATGATGACGAACTATACAAAAATTAACATGAACAAATTATATTAAGGTTTCGATAAATATATTTTTAAGTAAATGGAAAACTGTAAAAAATGGAGATCTCCAAATATGGAGAATGTAGCATTAGAGCAAAAGAAGAGAAAATGGGGATGATCCCCAAATTTGGGGATGAAGGTCTCCAAATTTAGACTAGCATTGGACTTGGCCTAACAACTAGTCACCAAAGGTAAGATAACCTAACGGTAAAGCTTACGCGACAGTGAAGGCTTGGGAGTTGCAGATCTCAGGTTCGAATCCAAGCGAGACTCGTTGGTGTTCTCGGAGGTATAAGCCTGTTGGGGGCGAAACCTCGTTGGCGTCGAAATTAAATGCAGGTGATCCCCAAATTTAGTAGGACCCGTTGCACGTGGGACTAAGGTTACTGGATAATAATAATAATAATAATAATAAAACAACTAGTCAACCACACCCACAATTAGGGTTGGAAGTTTGGTACCGGTATTTGGGTTATACCGAATACCGTACCGAATTTGTCTATATTTGGTATTACTGAATGCACATTATTTCGTGGGATTGGGATTGGGGTTGAATTTCAATTGTTATTCGGTATTAGAGATTACAGGATTGAGATCGGTATATACCGAAATACCTATCAATACCGAAATATAAGCTAGTGTGTATTTTATCTTGTCAACTAGACTCTCTCATTCACTACACTACAACCCTCAACCACCAAAAGTGTCATTTAATTATACATAGATCATTAGATCACTATTTCACACTAGTATTAGTTGTCTCTCAACCTCAAATTCGTCAAATTAAAGATTACCAATTACAAGAAATTTTGATGTTAGCTCTAGGCAACTCAAGACTATTTGATTAATCTCTTTGCCCCAAATTAAACAATAAAATCTAATTTATATATTAATTATTAATGGTAAAGGTAATAAATTATGTATTCTATACCGATTGAGATACCGAGATACTGATTGGGATACCGAAATTATTTAGAGATTGAGATTTGGATACCGAAATTATTTAGAGATTGAGAATGAGATTAATTTTAGTATGTAATTCGGTATCTGATATTGGGATACCGATACCTACAAATTTCCACTCTTACCCACAAATCGAGATACTAAAAATGTGATCCGGATTCCGGCCCCAGAAATATAGCGAACTATAAATGCTCCACAAAAAAAAAAAAAAAAATAAAAATTCTCGCTTCTCCCTCAATATTCCGCAAAGACAACAAATGAGGTTCATAGTCGGCGGTTTCGTTTCGTGAGGTCGAAACCCTAGTTTCACTTTTCCGCCTCAGTTGCCGTCAATGGAGACTACTGAAATCGCGCCGACTGCTCAATCAAAGTTACCGAAGGTAGCAACGGGCGATTGGATTAGCTCCCTACCGGACGAAATCCTCTCCCACATTCTCTCTTTCCTCCCAACAAAATACGCCGTCGGCACCTCTTGCCTAAGCCGACGTTGGAAGGATCTGTGGACTGGGCTGTACGAGCTCGATCTCGACAACCGCGACACCTTGTTGGGGAACACAGGCAATCGCTATGAGATTCTTCGGAGGCAAGACTTTGAGTTCACCCGCTTCGTCGACAGGGTTCTGAGAGAGCACAAGGATCTCAATTCTCTGAGGCGTTTCCGCATACATTTCGATGCACCGAACAGCAAGGTGAGCCCCAATCTCTTGATGAGGTTAAGATTGGCGTCCGATGAGTCTCGGCTTGAGGAAATGGATGTTAGTTTTGAGGTGAACCGTTCTTGCCTTCCAGACACACTCTACAGTTTGAATCGTCTAAAAATTTTGAAGCTTAACAGCGCTGTGTTACAGAGCGCCACAAAAGGGTCTGTTCTTCTGCCTAGTTTGAACATGCTGCAGCTTTTGAGAGTAAGGATTAAGGACTGTGAGTCATTAAGCAGTCTCATCTCTGGTTGCCCTGTTCTAGAGACTCTACATTTGGAAAATTGCTACTACTCAAACAGGAAGGAGGGTGACGAACTCATTGCTTCCTTACCTTACTTGAAGAACTTGACCGTTATCAGCAAGGGCTTCCTTGGTAATCAGTTGTGCTCCTTTATAATAGAGGCACCATGTCTTGAGCAGCTTTATCTTGACCATTTCTCTGAGTTTGAGTTTCTGGACAGTAGCCGTCCTATGTCATGCCTTCATTCAGTGCATATTGACATTGGTCATTATCGAATTTCGGAGCGTGGCTTGATTAGGTTCCTCGCTCACGTCTCTAGTGCAAAGGAAATACACTTATCACCGCAGATTCTGGTAATCAGCATTGTTCCTTAGTTCCTCTATTTTGCCTAATTTGAATGGTTGATAGACTGAGAACTAATGATTTTGTTTTTGTTCAGAATGTTATGTTAGATTTCCATCGTGATGTTCAGCTGCCTATCTTTCCCAATCTGACACGTTTGACAATTGAAGACCCTGAAAGCAGCTTCGTTCTGCACTCCTTGCTCAACTCGGCCCCCAAATTACAATCTATTGTTATTGACTTGGTGAGTCCCATTTTATCTCAGTTAATTGCAGGCTCCCCCTTCCTTACATACTACCACTATCCATAATGACTATGTGCATGGAGCAGAGGGATGCGTCAATGTCGTGGACTAAACTTGCTCGCACCCCTCGCCCTCAGTGTCTGTTGTCAAGCCTCGAGGAAATTAAGGTAAAAAATATCTACGCAGATGAAGATCAAATGAATATGGTGGCATATTTGCTCAAGGCTGGAGCTGTACTGAAGAAGGTGGATGTGCACTTGTATGAGGATGTTAATTACAATGATCTTTCTATGCAACACCGTGCTGAAGACCGAGACCGTCTTGGGTCACTGCTAAAACTACCAAGAGGCTCGAAGGCTTGTGAAGCTCATCTTTTTCTTCCCAACGGCGACGAGATTGGTTTATAGCAACAACGAGACTGATGGTGACAGCGACTTTTAGGACATGGATGATGGTGATGACGATGACAATGGCATGAAAAGGCGATGTCGACGATATGGGTTGATGAGATTGCCGCAGATAATCATGACTACGGCACCAGCAGCAGTGAAGATTGCTCGCTGTAAGGGAGCCTTGAAGATTATGTGCGTCTTTTTTAGAAGAATATTGCTTCGTAGGAGCCGAGATCTTCGGAGTTTGGGAAGACTTTTTTACTCTCTCTTGCCTCGGTTCCTTTAACCTATGCTCTGCAACTAGAAAGAGACTCTTAGGCATCTATTGACAATTTGACATGTAGATGGAACTAGGGAAGAACAAACTTGAAACTTCCTACCCCCTTGTGGCCAACAATATTCTGTTTGAGAGGAAGTAGAGTGAACTAAGAATTCGATGGTGCGAGTCATCGCGCTGCAGGGAGTCTACTGCATCAAGGAATTCGGGCTCATCCCGATTCTTGTAGTGCTTCAATGAAGTTGACAAGCAGAGATCACTTGGTAAGTGACGAGCTCTGGCCTCTGGGATGTGATACCGAACCATGACGCTGCGAGGATTGTTCCGGTGACTGGTGAGAGCGAGAAATCGAAAGGTTTGCAGTTGGCATTGGCGAACCGCTAGCAGAATGCTCGGCCGTAATGACACCTATTTTTGGGATATAAATTAGTTACTAATGAAATAACATTTATATTTTTAGAAGATTGCTGACTATAACGTTCGACCCAAAGATTATTGTCACGTTGACAGCAGACTTGTAGTTCGACTATACTAGTAGAGCATTTTGCAAACATCTTTCATTGAATTCTGTATAAACCAGCACATCATTTTTCTCTATGTACAAACCATATAATTCGTCTTTTTTTGCTTTGCCTTTACTCCTACTACAACACCACCTGTTCTTCTACTATCATACACCCATTCCTACTACAATCATCGCCATCACCATGCTCTTCTAGTTTACTGATTAAGAATTCCATCATCTTCTTGTACATCGGCATGTAATGATCGTTTATCATCGTTTTCGACAGGCGTATCTTACTGTAAAGCTCCCTTGGAGTCTCGTATATCCCCACATGGCCAACCAAACTCTCCTCTCCCCCGTCCTCAGCCGTGGTAGCTATGCAGACAATGTGCATGATCTTGCCGGGAGGGTAGAACTTGTGGCTCTCCGAGACCTCTTCGGTTGATATGTTATTCCTCGTCGGCGTTGGCTCAGTAGTTGACGCCTCTGCGAGAATCATCCTCTCCTCTTCCTGGATCTCTTTCGCAGCTGCGGCTTCTTCTTCGGCTTGGATGTGCATATCAACTTCATTGTTGTTGTCGTGTCTCTCGAGCTCCTTAGCCAGCTCATCCCACAGCTCGCCCTCGGTTGGCTCTTCGACCAATGAAGATAGGACTTGATGATTGCCAGGTAGAAGAGGTTCGTCTTCTTCTTCTTCGCTACTTGATCCTCCGCTGCTTGATGACCTATTGCTCTGTGACAAGTCTTCGGTATGGATTTCGGTGGTCACCATGGTTTCTGAGCTTTCACATATTATGGAAGCTTCATCTAAATCCTCCTTTTTAGGGGATAATAATGTGGGTCCTACAGACCGACGACGTGGTCCCATGCATGACCATGACGTTAGAGATGAACGTGTCCGCACAACAGCCTGGGCAACATTCTGAGCTCGTCTCATCACAACCTAGATCATCACAATAACAAAACGAAAGATCCGTAAACATCCCAAACATGGTGAGAGTTATCTTGGGAAATTGGGGGAGCGAAATGGGGTAACCTACCTGAGTGCTGCTGGAAACAGGGCGCAAGAGTGCCCCAGCACCAGCAACCCTAGCTTTTGCACTCGCTATGGACGGCAGACGAGATCCAAGAGCTGAAGCTGAGCGATACACGACATTTAGAACCCGTGTTTGCTCCACCTGATCTCTCAAATCACTCAACCATGATGATGCAGTGACCTAGTTTGACAAACAGTGAGACAAATTCAAGAGTTATTTACTGTAAAAGGGAAAGTTATAAGCAATAACATGAAATTAACCTAGAAATTTCATCACCTCAGAACGAAGGTCATCAATGGAAGCAGTTGAAAATGTAGGCACTAGATCAGACCCATTGATAATTGTTGTGATGAAATTCTTGCCCGATTCTGCTAAATCCCAAGTCATACAAGCAGCTGCAAAAGACACATTGCTGTGAGGACATGGTTTAGGAATAGTTTTCGTGCTAAGATTACAGATGAGTACATGCCTGGAGCAAAGGTTACACAGGTGCTCGAGGAAAACATCTTCTGTTCTCGCAATATATATGTTAATAATGCTGCAGTACCACCACCAAGAGAATGACCAACAACCTGGAAATCATAACATAGTTGATCAATGAACGCTAAAATTCTGAAACTGATGCCAAAGCTAAAGCCTGATGAAGAACTGAAGTTCCACATATCATGTCAAAGTTCAAAGAAATGGAAGACTTCGGCTATAAGTGAACTGAATAGCCTAACAAATACAAATGTAATTTATACCATTTCCTCCACATAACATACACTATTCCAGTTGTTTACCTTAATTCTATACTCAGGGTATTCATCAAGAGCCTTGAGCAAGCAAGGAGTGCTGAGTTTGGCGATCCACCGAGCTGCTGCAACCATTCCACAATGTGCATACCCTAAAACCAAGTGGCTGATCCCACCATCATCTAATACCGAATGGTGGAAGGGAACCACCGCCCCAGTCACTGCAGTCAATGTATCTTTGATGCTATGAGTTCCACGGATCAACAGAAGGAAATGCTTCGTAGCTTCGTCTCGTATAATTGTAAAAGCGGGCATCAGGATCTGGATAATCAACAGAAAACTATTAAGAACTTGAATTCCTCTTGTGATCAGCAAGAAGAAAGAACTTTCTCAAGACATTACCCCAGCCTTAGGCTTCTGAAGAAGGACATGTTCTTGGGAGTAACCAGCAGATTCTAAGAAAACTGGGAAAGGCTTCTTTGAAAAGAAAATGCAATTTGTCAACAGCCTAAGCAAGTACTTGAGCTCGGTCACAATCTCAGGCCCTTTCAGCTGTACACAATCACTACCGGCATACACACTAGCTACCTGCAAATTGCCCTGAAAAAAAGAAGACCCATCGAAATTCTCAACCCAAAATCGCCTCCAGGACACAGAGAAGGAAATCCAGAAAGAGAGAAAAGGGGTTTTCGAACCTGCCTACGCATGAGGTAATTGATCCCGAAAGCCAAATCAGCAATCGGCCATTTCCCCAGAGTCTCGGCGTAAGTAAACCGAAGGGTCTCGGTCAAGGTGGTCAGCGTTTCAATCCAGGTGGCCGGAGCTTGAGCCGGCCGCCGGGAAATCCTCCGCCGCCCGGATCTCGATTTCGACAAATCCCCGTGATCAGCGTCCCCTTCGCCTACCACGCCATTAACTCCGACGCCCTTGGCAGCCAGTCTCCGGCTCAATAAGTAGTACAGCACCACCGCTGCTCCGGCGGCGGTCGCCATCGTCCCCGCCGCCATCTAGATATGGGAGAAAACGAAATGGAAACCCCCGCCCTCCCCCCCAATTGTCGCTTTTAGGCAGTCGGGAGAATAAATTATCAATCAATGAGAGAAACCCAGAAGGAAACTGATTGGCTTTCGGCTTCTCTTGTTGAGCTAGGAAGCTTCTGCTGGGAGAATTCTGGAGTAAAGCTGTCTGGGAAATGGAGGAAGAAGAGAAAGGAAGCCTTTTGGCCGCGGAAATGGCGAGGGAAGAAGAAGATTAATTGTGGGCAGAGAAATAGATTCGGATGAGATGTTAAATGTCGGAAAAGGGCTTGGACGGGGACGTGGAGATGTGGACGACAGCTGTTGTAAAGACGCGGGAAAGGTGAAGGGTAATTAGGAGAATTCATCTGAGGATTGTGGTAGTGTGCGGGGAAACAAAAACAAAGGTGATTGTGAGAGTTTTGGCAATAGAGGAAAATAAGTAACACTTAATTAATTGCGGTTTCCCTCAGTATTTCCTTTCATCTTATCAGTTATCATTCTTATTTAGTGTTATGCACTACCTTTTATAATTATAAAAATTAATCTTTAACATGACTATAGTCTATAAATCTCGATAGAGAATTCACATAATAAAGATCTAAATTCAAAATTTCGTCTTGTGAAGAGATTTGTGTAAGCATCGTGCATAGTTGGTTTTAAGCAATTGTGTTTAGGGTAAATTACAAGGTTGATCACTGAATTTACTAAAAAGATTCATGTTTGGTCATTACAAATATTTAATTTCATTCATGGTCACTAAAATTAGTTCAACGGTTCAAATATGGTCACTCTCCGTCCAATTCCGTTAACTTTATCTAATGTGGCAGTCAACCCTAAAATTTGACCGTTAAATAAGTGACGTGGAAAATAATAAATAATAAAATAAAAAAATTTTAATTTAGTAAAATTCCACCTCATTTTCACAATAATTAATATAGAAAAAATTATAAATACCAACTTACCCAATTTTTACATATACATCTTCTGTCAACCTCTGTATATCTAATTGACCCAATTACCCAATTATAAATCCCCAGCTTCCATTTCCCAATCACCACGAAAGATCGAACGCCACCGTAAAATCGACCCTACCCGGAGACTATGAAGGTAAAGTATAATACTTGGAGAAGGTCTACAAGAAGAGTCCAAGAGAAACCAAGACATAGGGGCAAAACCCTAGAGACTTACATCATTAGAGGAAGAAGATAAGGTTAAGAGACAAGTTGGCACACCTGACATCACCAAGGAAGAGGTCAGGGGGACACCCTCTGCCCCACCAGACACCTTCTGACCAGAAGTACAATATACAGTGACAGAGAGTCTGAGGTGCATGGACCACACACATAACATCCAAACTTGTATAAATAGGAGTGTTCTCCTCATGAATGACAATCTATCTACTCTTACTCTAACTTCTCTCTACTTTCTCTCTCTATATACTTCTTCTCTTTTCTCACTTCGGCTGAGGTGGGGCGCCTACCCCCTCAAAGTCATGTCTGACGCCCCAAACCCCTTGGACCCGAGTGACGCCCAGTCGCCCGGGCTCAAACAATTGGCGCCCACCGTGGGGCCAGACATGACTTTGAAAGAGGCTTCCCCCTCAAAGAGTGCACAAGAGAAGAGTGTGAGCGCGTCCGAGCGAAGGCGGAGACGGCGCGCAAAGTCTCCTGAAGAAGGTAACCTAATAAAAAAACAAGCAACAAAGAACAAGGGGCAAGAAGTATGTTAGAGCAATCAGATAGAGCAACTGTCGAGGAAAATGATGAGAAGCTTAACAGGGCACGACGCCTATTAAAATCTCGGAGGGTGGCGCTCAACAAACAAGAAAGAATTCGCAAAAGGAAAAATGACTTAGAGTAACAAAAACTGGGAGGCGCCTCCCCCGATTAAAGAAAAGGCGCACGACGGCGCCGCACCTGATTCAAAAGATCGCAAAGGGTGACACCTAAGAAAGACGAAGTGAAACTTATCTACGCAAGATCAGAAGGCGCCTAACGAATTGAAGGAACAATGCCTGAAAAGAAAACCAATAATTTTAGGAACGAGGACGCGGATGCGTCTCCCCCGATTGAAGAAGAGACGCACGGCGACGCCGCCCCTGATTAAAAAATCACAAAAGGTGGCGCCTAGGAAGAAAGAAGGGTGGTGCCTACAAAAATTGGGTACAAAATAGAGCTACCTAAATCGCGGGGGTGGTGCCGGCCAAGGAGAGCACTTAGAGAGAGGCACCGAAAGGAAGGGGAGCGGTCAAGTTGGGAGGGGAAAAGCGGAAAATGAGAAGGAGGAGCTTAAATAGGGTGAGTAGAGAAGGAGGCGCACAGTTTCCAAAGTGGGCTGCCCCCAAAGCCCAATCTACCCTACCTCTCCCCAAAATTGCCTACCTTAAGTGACTCACTTCTACTGTCACTCTAGGAATTGGCCAAGTGAAACCACTTCCTAAAGTGTAGTATAGCGGGTTTGGGTTTAAATGTCAACCCGGGTCCTAGATTTGATGACTACTCGGTGAATTTCTTGTTATCTAGCAATGAAACTTTAATGCAAGTCTAAACTAACAAAGAAACAATGCAAGTAAACTGTTGTTTTCAGGTTAAGAGAGGTCACCCGGATATGGTTCCCCCTAGATTGCAGTTAAGCCGGATTGCAATTACCAAGTTCAGTTTCTATGATAGTTATACTGCGGAAGGTTCTTAAACAGTCTGAAGTCTCGACTAAAGGTCTCTAGACCCTCTCAATCTGAGTCTCTAGCGGGCGACTAACCTCCAGCGGAGTAAACAGATTGAGGCCCTAACAACAAAACCTCCACTACCGAAGTGAATTCGGTACAGAATAGTGAGTTGGCTCCTCGACTAAAGTCACCAACTCCCTACCTTCAATCAAGGATGCTCTATCAACCTAGGCAGATATTCTCATTCTAGGTTAAAGTAGAAATAACAGGAATTTGATCAGGATTCATGCCATTCAATCATTCAAACCTCAATTGAATATAATCAAATCATAAAATCAATACTTGGGTTCATACAATCAGACCTAACTACAAATCTAGGGTTTCCCATACCCAGATGAATGGGAGAACTACTCAACGGAGAAAGAAGCAAAAGCAGAATCAGACGCGGTATTCATACTGTGAAGGATGGATTCCTGCTCCTGGACGTTGATCGGCACTCCTCCAAGCTCAAGCCAAGCTCCAATGGTGATGAAGATCAAGCTAGGGCACTTGAGAACTCTTGTTCGTCGCTTTCTCTCTCTAGGAATCTCTCTGTCTCTCTAAAACTCGAATCCCCTTCTCTTTTGGCTGAAATCTGCTTAAAAGGGCATCACTGGGCAAAACACGGTCGAGGGCACGGCCGTGCTTTGCTTCAGCCCGCCCGTGTTTTTCCAAGGGTTAATTACACGGCCAGCCTGTTGGTGAAAACACGGGCGTGCTTTTGGTGGGCACGGCCGTGTTTTGTCTCAAACCCGCCCGTGTTTTCAGCCAGTGTTTGCCAAACTCAATTCAAGTCTCGGCAGTAAAAGCACGGCCTAGGAACACGGCCGTGTTCTGATTTAGGTGTGCCCGTGTTTTGGCTCCATCTCGACCGAATGACTTCCGAATGCCCCGAAACTCGTGCTTAGCCTTTCCTTTGACGCCTGGGACCTGAAATATGACAAAGTAGCACAACCCGGCGTAAAATAGGCCAAAAATACACTACTATGCCCCTCATACGGATAAGAACTAGGGGTGCAAATACATGCAATTACATCGTTATCAAATTCCCCCACACTTAACCTTTTGCTTTTCCCCAAGCAAACCAAGTCAGACACAAGGTAAGCTCAAAAACGTTTCAATCAAGCATGCTTTAGGGCATATCATATCGGCACAAAACACGTGGATCATACTGGCTTTCGATCATTAACACATAGACAACCTCAATGACAACCTAGACAACCACCACAGATGACATTCGAATGCAGTAAAATCGAGCAAAGGAAGAGTCTCCCTTCTGTTCACCAACCAACATAGACTTAACTCAACCACTTATTCAAAACAGTCACTTCATGCACAAAGCTCAAGATATCAGAATTAAGACCGAGCAATCCAGGTCCTCACCGGGATAAAGAGTATAGAGAATAAGAGAAAAGAATCGCTCACTCTCGACCAGTGTCAGGACAATTTGATGCGAAAAATGCGCATGCTTAATCTCTCAATCCCTAATATCTCTTCATCATGAATGCAGCTTCTAAGTGCTAGAGTTCACATATGGGGTGTCACCACTAACTAATCCGGAGGTCTTAGACACAGGTTCAGATGACTGGCTAGGGTCTTGGACATGGGAAAAAGGCCTTTTAGGTGGTGGAAGAATTCATTCAGCACAAGGTTTCACATTTCCAAACCCAACAGACTCACAGTCAATCAAACCAATAACTTTCTTTCTGCTATTCTGCATTACTCAAATTCTTTAGAGCACAAGAGTGAAGGAGGTTACATAAATGTTAGTATTTCTAAGCCAGACTGCTAAGAAACACTACTAAATGGGCATTACTCAGATTTTTGGTGGTGGCTCTCTTTTGCTTTCATTTTTTTTCTTTGTTTTTCTTTCGTTATTTTTTTCATTTCTTAAGAGAACCACCACCTCTGCACATTTTCACACACCTGCCCAACTTTTAAGCACTACCTCCAACACTCACATTACGTTTAGCAGAAACAACAGAGAACATGTAAAAATCACTCTGTGGAACCTTCTAAAAGATGCAAAAGGGTGACTTTTCAATGAAGACCAAAAGAAAGGAAAACACACGGCTCAAAGGGGCTGACTAAGGGGTATGACACACCAGGACAGTTAACTTGGTCGTGGGATAATCCTATGCCTCCATCATCTTAGCTAATGACAACGTGAATGCTGCACATCATGGAAGAGGAAACTATCGCACAAGAAAGAAACGAGCAGGCTCAAATCTCACATGGCTACCTATATGCTCTATCTCTCGTTCTGATTCTCTGAACTAGATGCATAAATGACTATCAAAAGCAAGTGATCAAACCAAGTCACATTTGGTAAGCAAACAGTTGAAAAACTGAACCCCTACAAAATTCTACTGCACATCTCAGTCATCACAATAAGTTGTCTTAGTCACACTCAAGTTGTCATGCATCAAGTCAAAAGCCATTCAATTCACTAATCACATCCACAGTGCCAATACGATCAAACATCAAGCAAACAGCCGTGCTTGGAGCCCTCAAATCTCAAGATTTTGACAGTGGACTAGGCTCCAAGCACACATA